TGTTTTATTCATTATTATTTATCATGCAGATAAAAAATGTCTCTCTTCAATATAGCGATTTTTTCATAATGCAGCCCATTTTTTCTTCTACTTAGCTATACTACATATACCACTACACTTAATATTTCTAAATGAATGTAGTACAAAAAATGTTTTATTACTGTTTATTCCTTTATTAGTTTGTGTAAATATATTGTAGTAAACAAGTGTAAATATACTGTAGTAAAAAAGGAATGCAGAAAAATTAACAATCCACTAGCAAGGCAGATAGAAAGTACATAACAAATTCTGTAATTATACTTTTGGTAAACATAATAAACCGAAATAAGAAATCTCCTTAGAATGGAAAATAAAATCTGATTCAAAGTAAATATTCATGTACAAAATTAGTTGCTCCACAACAGTATAAATCATTTCCCTTCAAGAAAACTTTCTTTTGCTATCATTTTCTATTTACAGTAGTGATTCACTTCATTTCTATGTGTCCTGTTCTCTAAGCTGTTTTGAGTGGAAGTTTAACCATGTGAGGCATGAACCAGGGAACAATATATTTCAGTTTTCAGTGCTTTGCAGTAACAAACCAAGTGTCTAAAAACTGAGTCAATGTTGCATTATTTTAAACACATAAGAAAAATGGACAGTTATCAGACAGGAAGATTCACTGTCAAAGATCACAGATGATTTTTCCAAATTTATTTAAAACTCTCCATCAATTTGGCATTGCTCTAGCAATGATAGTAATATATACCAATTTGTTACAATAACCTAACACAATTTATAAAGGTTCAGTGTTTTGTACTGTAATCCCTAAAAAGAACTCAAAGTTGGTGTGATGCAATGTTTCATGGCAATCTCTGTAGTCTTGAGGAAAAAGATTTAGAAAGAAATCTATGCCAGAAAGTGCAGCAATGAGATTCATTGAATTCAAATCCCAAATCTTCCTTCCAGAGTTTTTTTTAAACTCAAGAGAAATAATACAGGAAATGAATGCTGAAATGGCTAAGTGGACCAGTTGGGGGGTACTGCTGTCCCAATACAGTGACATTTTCCTTAAAAACAGATGGGTGCGAGATGCATTCTTAAGCACAGAATTTATTTATTGATATATTTATTTATTTGATGATTGGTATGGCTGCCTATAATAAATAAAACAACCCTAGGTGGCTAACAAACTCACAAATAAAAACACAAGATTAAAACTCTAACAGACCATCAGTGTGATAACCGCACTGTCTCAAATAACACACACAAAAATGCTGGGCTTATCCAGGTTTTAATGGCTTTCTGGAAGGCAAAGAGGGTAGGGGCACTCCATATTTCAGGGGGGAGGCTGTTCCATAGGGTAGACACAGCTGTGGAAAAGGCTCGCTTCCTAGCTCCCAGCAGATGACAACACTTAATAAAGGGGACCTGGGATGAGTCCATCCTATTCAATCTAGTGGGAGGGGTAGATAACCTCAGGGAGAGGTCCTCAGGAGTTATTGTTGTACTGCAGTGTTTGAGAATGTGAGGGCTCAGCTCTGTCAGCTACTCTAGAAGATATGGAAGAAGAGGGCATTCATTTGCCAGAAGAGAAGAGCTTAATCTCCAGGGATCAGCCAGTGGATTAATCCTTGACGATGGGGGCTTTTTCTCTGGTGTCCTGACTGCTTTGACTTGCATTGTGATGTTTTTGCTGGGCTATAATTGCAGTACCTTAAGTCAAAAGATTATCACCTTTTGCCAAATGGAGTGCAGAGGTGATTCGCTGGCTGGGGCACCCAGCTCCTGGACTTCCCTCTACAAGTGAGGTTCTTGCGTGAGACTGAATGGAAGGCTGCTTCTGACCCTACCCAATGAAGAATTCACAAAAGCTCCTTACCAAGTAAAGAACAGTGGCCACAAAAAGGCCATTTGTGAACTTGAACATGTGAGGATGCTGGGGCAAAGATGCCACCAAGCCTTAAAGCACTGCATCATGAAAAATTGCTAATCGTACTTTATGACTTAAGAGCTCCCCTCAGCTCATGATGGCCTATTTGTACCTGCTAAATTACATAGATCCCTTTCTGCCCTTTATCCAGATCATCTGCCATATGCCGGAGGAGGAAGAGCTTGAAGAGGTTATTGTAAAACCTGCTTGATCACAGAGACCCGGTGTGAAAACAGTACAGTAGTGAGAATTCTTTGGGAAGTTTGTTTTCTTGTCATATTAGCTGATTGTGGAGTTTGCTTGAGACTGGCTAGAGATCCATTACTGGATCTCCCACTTCATCATTATGAATGTCATGTTGCTTTCCATGCTAGAACTATTCTCATTCTGGAGGCTCTGCTCAAGGTAGAAGGTAAAGACAATTCCACAATAGATGTGGAGCCATTTCTGGAAGATGTCAGCCCAGGGATTTTTGATGGCTATTTTCTGGCCAATTATTTCCAAGTTTGTCTGTAACTGCCTATTTTATTGAATTATGTACTTCTATCCCTACACTGATAGGGTGATGAAAGGGATCCTGCCATAGAATTCAGGTGTGTGAAACCCTGTCCACCATCTGGTGGCAGGAAGCTGTGGGAATGGCCAAATCTTTCTACAGTTTTAAACTCAAGCTGACTTCTCCCCTGCTTAATTGAACAGTCTACTTTTGCAACCCCATTCCTCTCCCCCCACTTTTTTTTAAGAAACAAGGTGCAAGGGAAGCTAGCATCTTGTCTCTCCATGTGTACCTTCACTGAAAACAAAAAGAAGGATTAAGCCAAAGACAGAGCTGATACTGAGGAAGCAGCAGCAAGGAACAGTCATGGTCTATAGTTCCTGATCTGAACATGTAAACTCTGAGCCTGATCTGGCAGTATTGCTGCAGTCATTCTTAAAGTCAAACAGCAGAGAGTTTGACCCCTGACTTACACAGAGAGGTATCTTGGAAGGTACAATCTACATAAGAATTTAAAATTTTCAAGGAGACAATTTTGCCTGTGTTTGGCCAAGTAATGTCAGCTGCACAATGGTTTCATATCCAGTTGCAAAACCTTGGTAAAAGTATGCTGTCCTAACAAGAGCCAATACCATTTTATCATATCCTTTAAGAAAGGATATTTCTAATTCCCTTGTATTCCATCATCTGCAACAGAGAGCCAGGGATTCATTGCATTAAATCAGTTTGCACTGTTTGGTTTCTTTAGTAACAATTGGCTGAATACACACTGCACTAAGCCATAAACCATGTTTTACAGACCATAATAAGTGGAATATGCAATATATTAAGCCAAAACCAAACATTATAGCTTATAGTAATATTTGACCCCAGAATGTCTGTGTGTGTGGCTGTAACCTCAAAAAGACAAATGCAAAATTATTTGTTGACATTCAAGATAATCATCATATTTGTTCTGCTGAAGCTCCTGGCCATCACAAAGGCTGATCCACTTGCCCTACAGTAAATGATGTAGGCCAATGGGTCAGTGATATGGGCTGAGAAAGGTTTTAAGAAAGGAAGCCTCTGACACCAATCCTAAGTTCTTTATTGCATCTAGTTTCCCTAGGCTTACTTGGTATTTCCTTGGCACTTTCTTTGTCCCTTACAAGTATCAGCTTAACATTTTTATTTCTCTTTCTGAAATCCATTTCCAAAATATTTATTTTATTTAAGATATACTGAAATGCACATCAGTAAATATGAAAATCATATGTCAGATAGCACTACCATTTTTTCCTGATTTTTCAGGAACTTGTATTCACTTTTGGAAAATTTTACATAGCCAGGGATACCTATCTCTGACAATTTCCCTTGCTTGCAATATTAATTTTCCTTGTCTTGTTGATAGAATAGAAACTGCTGTTAGTTTTCAACCACCTTCTAGCTTATAGTTTCAAAATATGTCTGACTATGGATGAATGGTTACAGGTAGTCCTTATTTAGCCACTGCCTTGGATAGCGACCATTGGCAATTACCATGGTGATGAAAAAGTAACTCTGTGACCAGTGCCAGCATTTAGGACAACAAAAGCTTTCAGTGTGAAATTAATTAATGACTCAATAGAGGTGAATATGTGTAGCTCAGGGTTGAACTGTGGAGTCCTTGGGGTTCTCTGAG